AGGGGGAATGACGCAGCCACAAGACAAGAAATCGCCAAATGTTGTCTTCTAGAAATTTCAATGTTGTTTTTCAATTCCCTTGTAATCACAACGAAAGAATGAATGGAAAATTTTCATCCTAAAATTCGAACTACGTTGGGCCTGAATTCTCCCCGTGAGATACGTAGGCAGCCTTCCCGGCCCGGCCCCTATCACCAAAAATTTTCATTCTCCTCTATGTTTCGGAGATACGAAGATAAGATCAACAGACGTCGCAAAGCAGCTGCAAGAAGACCATAGCTCAACGTGATTCAGATTTCCCAAGATAGCGCCAAACAAACAAATTCCTGTTTGTTCAAAATATATATCCGTCCTTATTCGTGGGTTAAGATATCCTCAAACAAAACGACTTGTGTGTTTAATCTGTTTGCTGTGCAATATTATGTATTTTTTACTCAAATATGCGCTAACAGATTTGCCTTTGAGTTGTTTTTACCTCTCAGGTACCTCTTACTGGTCTGTGTCTATAAAGCTGGCAGATCACCACTACTTTACCAGATCAAAAGGTCGCGCAGATTCCTTCCCCGGATCAAACGCAAATATAGACATGGGCGACAACAATGAACAAATCAGCCTCACAGATGTCGTGGTGGCTCAGCCCACCGTGGCAGAGCAGAATGAGCTTATTGCGCAGCTAATGCAGCAAATAGCTGACATGAGGGTAGAGATGCAACGGAGGCAAGACACTCCTCCACCCGGGTTTGGCCCCAACTTTCTCGACGCAAGACCTCCTGCATACCTTCCTTCGTCCAACTCGGATCCTACTCAGCACCGTCCATCGATACCCGTGCATAACCCCTCCAGAATGGATATGACAGCCCAAAACCCCCAATACACGTCAGTCTCCTATCAAACTCCCTCACCACTCCCAGACAATCCTCCACAAATACCCCCACCCCCCAAAATACTCAAACAGCCACACTACCCCAAAATCAAACCCAAAATCCCACCGCTTTCAATTCTCAAACACCGCATCCCCATTTAACAAAAAATACCAATCCCCAAAATTATCCGCAAAATTATCAAACCGCACAGAACGTCCCAAGCCCTTCCATAGCTCCACCCCTCCCCAAAAGAACCACTTTTCAAGTCCCTGTCCCTGCCGAGCATGAGGTGCACGGCTCTGAGTTAGACCATTACGAGGAGCAAGAAAGAGAGTGGAGGGCGAGGGAAGAAGTGAAGGTAGACATAAAGGAGGAGATCAAAAGGGCAATGAAAGAATTGCAATGCACTCCAGACGTCGCCGGGTTAAGCTACGCAGAACTATGCATCCACCCAGACTTGAACCTGCCTGAAGGGTTCAAGATCACGAAGTTTGATACCTTCGGTGGGGTGGGCAACCCCATGGCACACCTCAGAGCATACTGTGACCAACTCGTGGGAGTTGGCGAAGATGAAGCCTTGCTGATGAAGTTATTCAGCCGGAGCCTGCGCGGTGAAGCCCTGGAGTGGTTCACGTCACATGAGACTCGACAATGGCCCAGTTGGAGTGCCCTGGCTAAAGATTTCATGGACAGGTTTGCGTACAACGTCGAGATAGTCCCCGATAGGTACTCCTTGGAAAAGATGAAGCAAAAATCCACCGAGAGCTATCGAGAATTTGCGTACAGATGGAGGAAGGAGGCAGCGAGGGTGAGGCCTCCCATGACAGAAAAAGAGATTGTAGAGGTGTTCGTGCGGGTGCAGGAGCCCGAGTATTATGACAGGATCATCTTGTTAATCGGCGCCAAATTCGCCGAAATAGTCAAAGTGGGTGAGACTATTGAAGATGGCCTGAAGTCGGGGAAGATAGCCCGAGTGTCTGCATCGCCTGGATCTTCTGGACTGGTAAGGAAGAAAAGAGAGGAGGTTAACGCTATCTCACACGGGGAAAGAAAGGCCTCCAGAAACTTACCACATCCCCAAGGCCGCTCCTACCCTCCATCAAAGCCTCATCAAGCCTATCGTCCAAACTCAAATCATTCCAGCCACTACAATGCCGGCCCCACTTATCCGGAAGCCCATATTGTGTCGTATCAGAATCCACCCCCGATTCCCCAAAATTTTCCAAACTACCCCCAAGCCTATCAAGTCCCTCCCCACTACCAGAATGTCGCTCCCAGCTGCGCTAATGTACAACTAAGCTATCAACGTCGTTCCCCGCATATCAAATACAAACCCCAGCATATCAAAACCCCCATCTAAATTACCAAGCCCTAATGCCAAACTACCAAATAAATCCCCATCCCAGAGCCCAAGCTCCACGACCAAATGCCTGCAATTACCAACAAGTCCCTCCCCCTCAGCAAAGCGGTTATGATCCTCCCCGTCCGAGATTTGAAAAAAGGCCTTCAAGGAAATTTACCACACTTGCTGAAAGCCGGACCAAACTATTTGAGAGGCTAGTCGCAGATGGATACATCCACCCTGTGGGGCCCAAACCCGTGGATATCAACTCAAAGTTCTACAGGCCAGATCAAAGGTGTGCTTATCATTCCAACAGTGTTGGACATGACACGGAAGATTGCATCAACCTTAAGCACAAAATCCAAGACCTGATCGATCAGGAGGTAGTTTCTCTTCAACCGGCGGCGCCACGCGTCAACACAAATCCGTTGCCAAATCATGGGGGTGGAAACATCAACATGATAGAAACTGACGAAGATGAGCGTGAAGCCAAGAGAATTACTCCTGTTGTTCAAGAAGACTTGGAAAGGGCTGTCGCTTCTTTAAGCATCAAGGAAAGAAGGGAGTTTGTTATTCTGACACCTGCAAAGGCTGTTGCCTTGGTGCCCTCAAAGACTCTCCCCAAACCCAAGTTGTGATAGAAACGGTTGTGGCTCAAGGCATGACTAGGTCCGGAAGGTGCTACACTCCTGATGAGCTTGCTCTCGGAGGACAGAAGAAGGACCATGCTAAGAGGCTGATAAGCGAGGGGGGAGCAGAAGAGTTCTGGAGAAGGATGCAACCGAAGGACTATTCTATCGTCAAACATTTAGAGAAGACTCCGGCTCAGATATCTGTGTGGGCCCTGCTGATGAGCTCTCAGTCCCACAGGCAGGCCTTAATGAAAGCTCTTGATGATACATACGTGCCCTCAGGCACAAGCAGCGACAATGTAGCTGCTATGATTCACCGAGTCATTCAGGGACACCGCATCAGCTTCTGCGATGATGAGTTACCATCCGAAGAGAGAGCCCACAACAAAGCTCTACACATCACCGTGGTCTGCCGTGGAAAGATCGTCAACCGTGTTTTGGTAGACGATGGATCTGGCCTAAACATATGCCCCTTGTCCACGCTGAAGCAGCTGAGGTTTGACCTCGGAAAGTTGGAGAAAAACCAGGTCAATGTGAGAGCATTTGATGGTGTGCAGAGAGAG